ATGTTTATATCAGTGTTCTTGTTTTGCACAAACTAAATGCAGTGATTGGTTAGTTTATGAGTACAGTAATTGCCTTGGTCACAGTTGTGAAATTAAGTTGACGGGGCAAGGTTTTGTTTATTTATGTGTTTAATTTGTATATGTCTAACAGAAATTAAACCTATATGCAAATTTGTATATAAAAATAGCATGGCCAATCATCATTAGAATGCTTGTAAATGAAAGGATTTTTTTTAAGGTCTATATATAAATAGAAAAAAATTACAGCTGGACTAATTAGGACCCTTTTTTAATCATTTGTGTATGCCATTTTTACAGTCACACATCAGCTTTGACATCATCCTAACACACTGATTCATGTTTTACAGGTCACAGATCCTCTTTACAATGGGCTCGTTCTCTGAGATCTCTGTAAAGAACCCTGTGAACCAGAAAGCAGAACTCACAGAAATACTTTTTTTTTTTTTAAATTAACTGGCACTGAAAGTTCCCATTGGGATGAAACATTTCATCTTACTTTATAACACCTCTGACTGCACTTCACGAACTGTTCTCATGTGCACTGTGTAGCAAGTGACATGCTACGAAGCAGACAAGGGCTGGACTGCTGCTTCTGTTAAAAAGTGGTTCTTTAGACTTCCTCTCAAATCCAATTGAAGACAAAATATACTTTTTTATACTTTAACTTATCCTTAACCCAAATGTTCATTTAAATGTCGACAACAATTTGCCTGTCACTTTGGTCTTGGGTGATTAAACTGCTTTCCAGAGAACCAAATGTTAGAGATACTAGACCAGATAGTGGTTAAAAACTCCAAAGGCAGTAACAGAGTAATCTTATTCACAATGGGATTAACCTATTTTAGACATTCATTTTAAACACTACCTCAGTTAATATTAATAGAGAGTATAAAATCTGTGGTTTAACCCCTCAGAAGGTAACAGTAATTCTTTTTTGTCACACACATCATCCCCATCCCGGGGCCCCACCTCACTCGTCCATCCTGAAATGAAGTCTCATTACTGTTTGTCTGAACTGTTTTGTTTGTGTTTTTATAATTACTTTGAAAGACTTGTATGTATGCATCCTAATATTTGCCTATAGCACTTAGTTTGGGGACACACTCAGAGATTTTTGATTATCAGTAATTTAAGGAACAAATGTACTTAAGTGTATATGTTTCACTGACAGGTCGAATATGTTCTTTTTGAATACTTGTTTGTATAAAAGTAGACATTAATGATGAAAAAATGCTCACATGCAGTGCGAAGTGATCAATCACCTTAGGGGTTTAAAAATAATAAATTATAGCAGAACAGGTTAGGAATGGGGTCAGTGGTAATAAAAGTAATTGAGAAAATCATCTATAAATGATAGATATTACCAGACTAAAAAATACCAAAATAATGTTAATACTGTAGGTTTTCAAAATTTTTAGGATTAATCTTAATCCATATAAATCTGTACTATTGGTAATTACTAATAATTGGGAGGAATTTGGACAGTTGTGCTGGTTGTAAACTGTGAATTTCTAATAGTAAAGTAAATTGTTTTTAATGGAAATTTTTTTCAAGAACAGATTTTAGCTTCACATACTAAATAAATACTGATAAAATTAGAAATTAGTATTCATAATTAAATATGATCTAAAATTTCTTACATTTTTATTTCCTGTTTATGCTTAGATAGATTTGAGGGGAAAAGTTTCTTCTCCCTAATAAAAAAAAATTTTAATGAAGATTGGTAGCATTTGGACATCCTGTAAGACAGTGACATTAAAAAGACTCTTTGGAGGTGGGTATATACATTACTATACTAGTTACTCTAATATGTGTGCAAGTCCTTTTAAAATGGTGTCTTTAATTGTTTTCAGCTCTTTTATCTGGAGCTTGGAACAATTAAAGCTGAGTTTTTTAGGGCATATTACAATGGCAAAGTGCTCAACAATGGGGTGTCCTTGCGTATTTAGATTTGTCTACTGCTATTTATATACAGATTTTCATTCCATTCAGAGGATGCGTTTTATCCCACATTAAGCACAGATGATTAAGCAATAAACACCAAATTGTCATCCAAATTATAACTGCAATTATTTTTGCATGGTAAGAGGGAGGTGCTGATTTTGTGTGAGATGAGCTTTGTAAGCTACCTTGGAAAAGGGTCCTTTGGAAGTAAGATTTTTCCCTTTGTCCTGTGCTTCCAGTTTTATCTCAGATTCACAACCCATTAAACCATAGGAAAAAGAAAAGGTAGAGTTCATTGCCAGAGTTTTACCAGAACTGTTGGAATAAAAGAACATTTCAGCTTTTCCAAAATATAAGTTGGGAAAGGTCTCCCTTGGCTGCCAGTCAGGAAATACATGATTACCAGTAGTCCTTCAGTGAGAGTCTCGCAATGAAAGCATGCCAGTGAATCAACAGCAGTGTTTCTCAAAAGACATGGAAATCTGAACCCTTTCTAGGAGCACTATTGTTTTCCTTCAGTCCCAGGCGCCCAGGGTGTTTTTCATTCATAGTAGGTTTGTATGACCAACACAGAATGTGGATTCCCCGCCTTTGGAGTGTTTTTGTAATGTAGGTGGATAGCTATGCCACAGCATGCATGAATTGCACATTTTGATTTTTTAGATAAAATATTTAATTTGAGAAATATAATTTATGCCAAAAAAGTATACCTTGTAATTTTGCCACTAAACTGGTTGATTTAGCACAAAATGCAAAGTTTTGGGGCAGAGGTGGGGGGAGATAAAAATGTTTCATAGATAATAGTTGGAAATGTTCCAGTACTGGCCTGTCAGAAACCCTGACGCTGCATTGTAAAACAAATGGTGTAAATTAGTTTTGAAAAGTGGTAAGGGATTGTGAAAAAAAATCTCAGATTAATGCTCCCTGACCACATGACTTTCTTCTTTTTTTAATTTAGTAATACGCTGCTACATATTTGGAGGTTCTGGTGTTTGTAGGTCACTGAACAGACATTGAAATATGATTTATATTGTATAACTGTAACATAGAAAGAAAAAGTATTTATATATTTTCCGTAAGAATATTTCATTGAGTTGTGTATAATTTAAATAAGGTTTGTCCCTAAATGGTTTTTCTCACCTTGATTTTTTTTTTTGGTTTTCTTGTTTTTGTATAATGTGTACAGTTTATGTCAAGGGCATTAAAAGCCTCCTGAAGCATAATCTTATCAAAGGGATACATTCTTAATAAAATGTACTTAAAATTCTTAAACTTGTGTTGTTCTGTTTGAAATTTTAAAATAATCAGTGTTGATTTGAAGTACGTACCACTGAGGCTGATACATATGCTTCCCAGTAAAAGGGACTTTTAAGCAACACAGATAACCTAGTTCAATGACATATTCCTGGCTTGTTCAAAATGTCTTCAAATATCTGCACTCTTAAACATTATTCATAATCTAATCAAATATCTTTACAGTTTTACCCTCAAATCATTATCAAGGGTCTTGAAAAAATGGATCAATCTTCTGAACAGTTCTGAAGTTTTTGAGGAGTTGATGTGCAATAAAAATGATAGGATGATGACTTCTGTGGGAGGTGGTTGATTTCTCAGGCAGAAACTGGCCTGAACAGACAGGGTAACATACGGCCTCCTGGTGGGGGAAGAATACACCACAGGGGAAATTATCAAGCCTGGAGATTAAAATTCACTGTCAAGGCTGTGGTCTATTGCAGCTGATTAAGTGTTGTAAAATGTATGTCTCACTTTTAGAAATGGATTTATTTTGGATATTTTGGTCTTTAAGCACATTTCTGTGTATCGTTTTTCAATGCCTTTCATGGTATGTGTCGTTAAATAGTAGGCCCCCAAATAAAAAAGTATAGTGAATCATCCTACAGCTGATCTTTGGAAAATGTGGTAATATAGCTGAACTTGAGGAACTTCATTTCATTTTTTAAAACTCTTCGATATGTAAAAATACTCAAGTGCTGTCTTAGTCCTTGTGGGCTGCTGGGGCTGCCGTCACAGAGCACCACACGCTGGGCCTTCACAGCAGGAGCTGCTTGCTCACAGGCGTGGGCTGGCAGCCAGGCCAGGGCTCACAGTGCCCGGACTCCTGTGTCCTCACGTGGCGAAGGGGCTAGGGAGCGCCCTGCGCTGAGAGCATGTCTGACCCTCAGAGGCTCCGGCCTCGTGACCCGATCACCTCCGAAGGCCCCACCTCCCAACACTGTCATCTGGGGGTTAGAATTTCAACATACACATTTCGGGGGGACAGTCAGACTATAACAACTACTTTTGGTCTCAAAAAAGAAACCACAGTATACAAAAACTTCATCTTTGAGGCTCATAGAGACTAAGAATGGCATTTGCTAAGTCCATTAACTGGAACATACTGCTTTGTTACCGGGCTGTAAAAATTTAACCGATTCTCCAGGTGTTTTATCTTTAAAGTTCTTTATGCAAAATACTTAATGTTTTCTACATTCTTTGAGATGAAGACCAGCTTATCTTTCTGCAGAGCTTAGGACAAACAGCTGTCTAATTCAACTAGACCTTAAACACATTCCAGGGAGAGCCAGTTTCGCTTGAAGTCATGGGAGTCGGGTGTTAGAATGTCAGCAGATTCCGTAGCTGCTGTGCAACAAGGCCCCTGCCCCAGCCTGAATTGTCGGGGTACCCTGCCCATATAGTATTGAAACTGCAGGTTTGAAATACTAATTTACTTGGTGGTTCAGAACATGGGAGAGGATAGTTACAGTGAAACTGTAAGCAAACAGTTACTATTAGTCTAGCATTTCCTACTGGCGTTTTGTTACGGTTCAGAAAGTTGCTTTCATTTGACTTAGGCCAGTGAGTCTCAAAGCTGAGTGTGCATCCGAATGAATGCCAGGTGGACGGAGACACCAGGCCTCATGCCCGAGAGCCTGACTAGGAGGGTTTGAGTGGCATCCGGGCACACCAGCTCCAGAGGTGATGTATGAGCTATGCTAATGGTCAGGTTTCTATTTCATGGAGGCAGAGAAAGCATGAACAGGGGTGTAACACTTTAATGAGAGCTTGTTACAACAAAAACGACTTCCAGGGCAGGCATTATTTTTTAAAGAAACTATGAAAGACTTTACAAGTCAGTCATCACTGCCACTGACATCTCTGTGGGCTTTTACGATTGCGTTGTGACAAACACGAGGCTAAATGACAACACTGAACCCAGGGTCCTCTTGGAATTACTAACTGAGATACTCGTTGGTACTGTGTTGGGAAAAGGCTTAAATACATGCGAGCACAGCGGTGAAGAGCCCGAACAGAAGCCCTGGTGTGTGCAGGTACACGGAGGCCGGCTGACAGCCACCTGGCTTTAGGCGGGTCCTTTCCTCCCTCTCTCCGTGGGGTTGAGTGTGGAGTGCGGGTCATGGGGTACCAGAGGCAGAGGCAGTGCCGTCTTCATTGGGCAAACGGCACCCCCAGGTGTGCTTGTTTAGAAATGTGATCGATCCACATTGCAGCTGACGGGCGGGCAGGCGGCAGAGGAAGGAGCTGCGTGCATGTAGCACCTGCTGCGCGGCTCGCATGCACAGGTTCAAGGAGACGAGGCTGCTGAGCCAGAAGCGAGTTCCCTCCAGGTGGCCTCTAGGAGCTCTGCCCAAACGGGCCCCGCGGCGTGGCTTCACTTGCTAATGCAGACATATAGATGAGAGGGAGGGGGTACTTGGCCCTGACCACCTGCTGCACAGTCCAAAGGATGCCACATGAACACAGGCCACGTACCTGGCAGTTCTTGAAAGAAAAGAGGAACCATGGGAAGTAAACGGAACTACTCAATGCTGCGCTTTCCTCTCTCTGAGGTAGTCATCCACAATTCCGGTGGCAGACCGGCGTCCACCCAGCGGGAGCGCCGTTATCCTGACACTGGGAGTCCCTGGCCAGTCCCTCTGACGGTGGTGAGTGAGAGGGGACAGGGTGGCGGTCTTCCGACACGTGCACTCTCATCTGTTAGGCAAGGCCTGCGCCCCAGGAGTTTTTACTGCGCCAATGCACGGCCAGTTCTTGTCACTGCGAGACAAGTCCAACCTGTGTCGGTCTCAGACATCTGTGACATTTTCATGAAATGCACCTAGAATCAGTAAACACTGACAACGTAGGCTCTAGGAACGAAACGCCGGTAGCCTTTTCAATTAAAGGCTTCAATCTGGTTCCTTTAACCTTAAGTTAGGAAACGTGGGGGTGGAACTTAATGGAAACCTTTCTGGTGACAGGCTGAATTCCAGGACCGTAGCCGCCCTGCCCGGGACTGCAAGGATGGGGTCTGCCCCTGCGAGGGGGGCCAGGGAGGCTGTTACAAGGCGAGCCTGGGACATGCAGCCACCAGGTAAGCAGGGTCCCCGCTCCTACAACGCGGGCGTTTCCACAGCGAGCCTGCTGCGAGGGAGGGAGGTCAGTTTCATGGCTTCTGAACTTGGAAACCTAGCGCGATGGCAGTGATCTTGTCTGACGCAGACCTCCCCGCCGTGGGGGCCTGGCGATGGGGTGGGGCCGGCCGTGCTTCTCGGTGTCTCTGTAACCGTGTGAAGGTGTGAAAGGGATGTATGCTTAGCCGCGGTGTTCGCCTGGACCCAAAAAGCTCATGGAGGAGAGACTGCTATTCTCATTCGGGGAAGGTGAGGCAAGACCCGGGGGGATAGCCATTTGCATTCTGTACTCGGAACGGGGTGCTAGCTCCAGGGAATTTGTTGGGGGACTGTCCTTGTGCCCAGATGTGGGTGAGGCCACCTGGGACACGTAATTCAGAGTGGTCTCTCCGGCTGGGGTTTCCCCGGAGGAGTTCATGTAGCTCGGCTCTAGGGACCTCAGCAAATTCCCAGGTGCAGTCAGAAGGCCCCCCATCCCTGGGGGGGCTGTATGGGGTGCTGGGACGGGGCCACAGAACCCAGCGTCAGGGGCTGCCTGATTATAGGTCAAGTTCTCAAAGCAGATGCCAGGGCCCGGGCCCACGGAGCTCTTCTCCGTGGGCAGGAGGTAAATGTAGTCGTGCTTAGTGCGGTCCGTTTCTGCCAGCGACTTCCTGGCGCCTGGGAACTGGGCCTTAATCCCCTCGGGCTTGTTCACCACCTCCAGCTTGTCGGGGATGCAGTCATGGGCACTCATGATTGTCAGGTGGGCGTTCTCCTGGCACGGAAACAGAAACAGGAAATGTGACCTGGGCCTGTCTGTGGGAGGCGCGTGGAGCTGCTGCTTTTCTCGGTACCTCCTGTCAGTGTTAATGAGGTGAGCAGGGTGTCCCCCGCGTCCCCAACGCCCTGGGAGAGCGGGGCCTGGCTCGCTCTGTCTTCCTGGGAAGTCCACGGAAGTGCAGTTGCTATAGCCCAGCCAGGGCTGGAGTTTCATAGGTCTAGGGTTTCCATACAATTCCCCAGCATTTACCTTGGGTTTTAGTAAGGACAGGACGCTGCTCTTGTACGGGTCTGGAATGTCAGGATAACATGTCTCCTTCATCCTAGAAAAGCAGTGAAAATGAGACTGAATCTTGCTTCAATGTGTTGGAATAGTTACGAATGAGAACTCTGAAGTCAGATTCCTGGGTTGTAACCTAGCTCTGTGGCTCACTAACTCTGACCTTGAGTCAGCTCCTTAACCCTCGTGTACCTTTAATTCCCTCATCAGTTCCATGGAGACAATGACGGTGCTCAGGGTGGGGCAGTGAGATTGAGTGAGTTGTTATATGTCAGCACTTAGATCAAGCATGTCAAACTCAAAGGCTAACACAAGCCAAATAAACAAGGTTTAAGTGTATGTGGGCCACAAAAAACCAAAAGCTTCATAGAAACTTAGGTTTATTTTGATAGAGACATGCTGAATTCAAAGGGCTGAAATAGATGTTAACATTAAATTATAGAACATTTTAATAAAAATTAATATTTTTTCTTGAACATTAACTTACCAGACACTGAATAACTGCACAAATTAATAAGTGTAATGCAAATAAACCTATTTTTCTTGTTCTCCAAAAGCTAAATATGTTGTGCACACCGAACAAGTCAGTCTAAGACTAATGACATGGCAATTGGCTGCTAAAATATTTGCTGCTGGTATTAGTAGAGAGAAATGGTGCAACTGTGGTAAGGCACGAAAGGGAAATGAATGCAATACGATTATAGGAATCAGTCATTAGCGAATGTTGTAGTTTGTTATTAATAACTAGTGGTGCATGGATTCATACACATTGAAAGGAAATTAAATAGAAGAAATATTTTAATATCGCTATTTGCCCTTTCTCTATAATAGAAGTGTCAGAAATGAAAGAAAATTAGTAAAATGTATGTGGAGAGCGGTTACAGTGTTTGGACAGGTTCAAGCCTCGGACTAATGAGAGGGCACAGTCCTCTCGTGGCCACGTGCAAGTCCCAGCTTGGAGGGCAGAGCCTTCCCAGCACAATGATAGCCAACAGCTATGGTTGTAAGCTTGAACCTATGGTCCGAACACATGGCCCCACGTGCCTGAGTGATATGGGCTTGATAGAGTTCAGGTGCATGTAATTGAGTAGATTCAAAACCCATGAGAACGTTGTAACCATGCCCTTACTTTGCCTGGTGAAATCTGGCTATAAAATAAAGAGACAGCTTATAGGCCATGGCACTGTCTCCATTAGAGAGGGCAGTGTCCCACCCAGACCCAGCTTTCTTCTCTTGTCTGTCTTTTCTAAATCTTTCACTGCCCCCACTCAGGTTCACCCTTGGCCATGCTGGTGTGGCAAATGTATATGAAAATAATATATAAATTGACTAATAAACAACATGATATAACAACAACAAAGACATGATATAAAAAACATGATATAAAAACAACAAAAACATGATATAAAAACAACATTGATAAAAACAATGACTGATAAATTGATTAAACTTATTCTAATATCTCCCTGTATACCACATTGAGTAAATACACTTTCAGAGTGTTTGACTAATTTCCCTTGTGATTAAGTATTTACAACTTTAACGTCACACGCTCTTCGGACTTAAGAGAAAGCAACATATAACTGACCATGTCTGAAAGCAGGTTCAGGTGGGAATATTCCTACTCTGTCTGGAGCAGCGGTTGCCAACCATTGGTCTGTAGACCACTGGTAGTCAGTGAGGTCCGAAAGGTTGGCAACGCTGATTTAAGGAAACCTTTGCAGCAGCTGTCGCCAACCAGGGGTCCACGGACCACTGGTGGTCATGGTGTCCGAAAGGTTGGTGACCAAAGGTCTAGAGTTTGTCCTCATGATTTATTAATAGTCATTGCAAATGCTGGCATCACGGGAAACTGTCTTTGAATTAATTTAAATGGGAGGCCAGTGTCAGACAGGGACAGTTGTGCCAATAGTCGGTCTTCAGACATACTCTGTCAACGACGTGGCTTTCTTTCAGCTTCAGAATGTCAACAAAAACAACCAAATTCATGATCAACAATGACAGATCAAAAGACACGTGTGCAATTGGTGTCAGCAAGAGCTTTATATGTATCGCACATATGTGAGTCAACATTTATTTTTAAACTGCCAGTGCAGTCATATGTACCAGCCGGTCGGTTAGACAGTTGGATGAACAGTCGGTCACTTAGCCTTTTATATATATAGATTATGTATAATAGGATATTGTAAAAATTAAGTTACGAAATTTTTATTAAAATGTTTCTTACATAACATTATATTGGCTGGGCCACAAAAATATTTGTTGTGGGCTGCATGTGGCTCGTGAGCCATGAGTTTGACATGCTTGACTTAGAACATGGCCAACTGTACAGTGAGTGACGTACAAACATTAGCTGTTGCTATTGAATAAGTCTTTCATCTTTTTAAATGGTTATGGTTTCCTTTATATATTGACCCCAAAAGCAAAATGTTGAACATTTTTTCAACTTTCCTCGTAGCCTCCTCTGCCCTTTCCTTTCCAGCCTATTCCTCATATTATTGGTGTGATTTCTGTTTATCAGACTTCTTTCCAGAGTTTTCCCTGACCCTCTTCCTAGACAAACCCCCCCACACACGTACCACTGACTCTTCACATAGCACAGGACCGTGAGGAGCAGGAGGAGGAAAACCATGGGGAGGATGGTGCGGATCAGTGCATGGGCTGAAAGAGAAGAAGGCGATATTTTAAATGAGTACCTTTCCCTCCTCAAAGGAAGAAAAATAAGTTTTAGGTTGAGAGAAACTTTATGTGTTTATTATTTCTCAAAAGTCTACATGTGTAAGAGTCGTAAGGGATCTGCCTGCCTGGGGCGTGTAAGGGAAGCAATAACAATTCAGCTGTTAGGACACCCAAACTTTATCAACATTTGGGGCCCAGCCATGGGCCTGGGTTTGCCAATGGGATGGTAGGAGTTCATGTCGATGCACTCGCTCACAGTTTTGCTTGCCCTCTGTGTGCCTGATATGAGCCAGGACGAGACTGTGCCCTGATCGCTGCTGCCCCTTCCGCCTGAGCCCCAGGGGAGCTGCGTGAAACACACCTGAGCCCGCCTGGCCCAGCGAGCCGTGAGCATAAAGAGATTTTGGTTTCTGTATGCCACTGAGATTTTGAGGTTTGCTTCCCGATTTGGCCTCTCTGAGGGCCATGAGAGACGCGTGCGGTTGGACAAGAAGTATTTGTCCCCAAACCTGGGGTTTGCACCCCTTCTAGTTAGTCTCTGATGGAGTGAATGTTTGAACTGGATAATGACTCCACTGCTGGTTCTCCGACAAGTCAACCCAACCGCAGCTTCATTTCCTTGGTGCCCCTCTTTCTGTTCCCACTGCGTGCCAGCCCCCCATTAGGAATTCTGCGGGCTGCCACACCCTCTCTGACAAATGTAAAGTGCACAGGGAGGGCCTGGAGGCTGACGGCCATTCACATGGAGTGGATTCTGTCCCTCCACGTGCTCCCTGCCCTCCCCAGGCCCTGGCCCCACCACGTGCTGTCCTGGAAGGAATGGGTTGGATTGGGGCGGGTGGGGAGGGCAGTGCTAGAGTTTTGTAAGGGAGGGCAGGCCTGGGACGATGCCCAGCCATTGCTATAAGGCCGCTCAGCTCCGGAGAAAAGGACCCAGATGGTGAGAGGGTGGCAGGAACCTGGACAACTAGCCAAAAGGAACCCTGACACCGGGGAGAGGGAAACAGACTCTGTCCCGACACCGCTAAAAGCACCTTGCTCTCCACATCAGCCCCTTTGGCGACTACAGCTGGCTCAAAATCGGGTTAAATGACGGACTTTTAAAATGTAACTGAGAGCAAGCCTGGGGACCTGTCCAAACCTCAGACTGGTTTGCTAAACTTTTCACTGGATGAATTTCCACACACGGAACACACCCCGGTGACCAGTGCCCCAGTCAAGAAAAGGAACGTTACCAGCTCCCAGAAGGCTCCCTGGCGGCCCAACGCAGCCACCTCCCTCCCAGGGGAACCACTGCTTTGTCTTCAGCAGCACAACCCACATGCCTCTGTGCTCTGCGTGGGATCGGACAGAAGGGGCGGGCCTGCGCTCTGTCACTCAGCAGGGCGTCTGTGAGGCGTCCGTGCCACTCTTGTGACGGCAGAATGGCACTCTCGTCACTGCAGTTAGGCAGCAACTGATTTGCTTCCTAAGAATAATCAGTATAATAACTAGAGTCCCAGCCAAGGCTAAGGAGGCTTAGCACAAAGAGGGGAGATGAATGAAAGCAGAAAGTACACTTGAGATAGAGAGAATTATATGTATTATATGTGTGTGTGTGTACACACACACCTCTACCAGCCAAGTAAATATCAAAGATAGGAGAAAAATAGCCTGAAAATAAATTAGAAATTAACTCCAAATGGCAAAAGGGCTCGAATATTGTGCCTCCCTGACTGAAATCTGTATCTGACTTAGAGACGTGGGCCATGGTCCCGTGATCTGCCTTGGACACATGGGTCGTGTTCTTTGATCTTAGAGATGTGGGCCGTGTTCCCGTGATCTGCCTTAGACACATGGGCCATCTTCCATGATCTGACTTAGAGACTGTAGGCCATGTTCCCATGGTCTGCCTTAGACACATCGGCATCTTCCATGATCTGACTTAGAGACGCGGGCCGTGTTCCCGTGACCTGCCTTAGACACATGGGCATCTTCCATGATCTGACTTAGAGACATGGGCCGTGTTCCATAGGCGGCAGTGAGTGCTCCATGCTGCCCCTGTAGTCACGTGTCCCCATCACCGGTCAGGGCCCCGGGCAGCACTTCCACCCAGGAGCCCATCCTGTCCACAGCCCCAGCTTCAGCTGGTCACATCTGGCAGACATCTCGGCCCATTTGTCTTTCATGGGGGAGGTCTTCAGAGACCCTTCCCGCCTCCTGTGGACCTTCTGTGCCCTCTGCTGACACCTGCTTTCTCCTTCTTCCATCAGTCTGCCTCCCCCACTTCCTGCTGGGTGCAGGCCAGGCTTTGCCAGGAGACTCCTATTTACCATTACTCAGCTCCTACCATTCTTTTCCCTTCGTTCTTCATCTTTTGGGCCAAGAGCATTTTTAAATATGGATCTCTTTTTTTTTTAATCCTCACCCAAGGACATTTTTCCATTGATTTTTTTTTTTTTTTAGGAAGAGGGGAAGAGAGAGGGAAAGACAGAGAGAAACATCCATGTGAGAGAAACACATTGATTGGTTGCCTCCTGCATGAGCCCTGACTAGGGCCTGGGCCGGGGAGGGGCCTGTAACCAAGGTATGTGCCCTTGACCGGAACTGAACCCGGGACCCTTTGGTCTGTAGGCTGATGCCCTATCTACTGAGCCAAACTGGCTAGGGCTGAAAATATGATCTCTTTATCTCTAAATCACCCTTTCCCCACCAAGTCTGCAAACACCAGGTTTGGGAACACATACGTCTTGCCCAACTGCACCAGCCTCTCATCACATCCGCCTCTCATCGCCCCCAGAGAGGCCCAGTCCAGAAAGCAATTAGTTCACCACCCAATGAAACCAGCTCAAAGGCCAGCTGCCCTGAGCCCAGCTTGGGGAACACACCACTGCCTGCCCCTGGCGGACTCGTGTGGCTCTCCCACAGCCAGCACTAAGCCATCTGTGACTTTCAAACTGGCGGGCCTGAGCGCCAGAGCAGTGCTGGGGGCAGGAGAGAGGCAGGAGCGGGTTTTGGGCCATGATCAGGCCGAGTAGCCCACTCAGCTGTTTTCTGTAGGGCAATTCGGTCACATTTTCTGTGAAACAGTTTGGTCTAGAGACAGAGACAGACAGAGAGCTCCCATCCGCACAGAGCCGGGCGTGTGTGTGCTGGGGCGGTTCCCGGGCTCAGGGAGGCAGCAGCCTTGCACTGAGGACACTCACCATGCTGCTCACGGGTGGTGACCTTGCCGAAGGGGTGGGCCGGGCCCTCACCGGCCCTCGTGCGCGGAGTGACCAGGAACTCGTAGAAGGATTCCGGCTGCAGGTTCTCCACAACAAATGTCTTTTGCTCTGGGTTATCGATGTCATGTTTGCAACCTTCTGAGTTATCTGTGGTTTAAAAACATTGGGAATGTGAGAGAGCTGGCGCTAACACTCCTGTTGACTCAGCACTGTGAACATTTTTAAAACAACAAAAAAATCGAATCATAATTTCATCACACAGGGACATTTTTAGGAATTGGCCAGAAAGGCAAAACATCCACTAGGCAAGAGATGTTGGTGATCAGGAGAGAGCGCACAGTTCTGTAATAGGTGGCAAGCTCTTGCTAGAGACTTAAACATACATCTCATAACCCTGGCCGGTGTGGCTCAGTTGATTGAATGTCGTCCCCTGCACCCAACGGTCTCATATTGATTCCTGGTCAGGGTGCATAGGGGAGGCAACCATTCGATGCTTTTCTTTCCCCATCTTCCTCTCCCTTCCTCTCTAAAGTCACTATAAAATAACGACATCTCATAAATGCAGATAACCAAGTGATGGTTGCTAGAGGGGAGGGAGCTGAGGGTTGAGGTGAAGGGATTCAGAAGTACAGATTGGTAGTTACAAATAGTCAGGCATGTAAAGAACAGCATAGGGAATATAGTCAGCAATGTTGTAATAACTATCCATGGTGTCAGGAGGTACTTGAATTATTGGGGGACCAGTTCGTAAATTATATAAGTGCTAACCACTATGCCAGTGATGGCGAACCTTTTGAGCTCGGCATGTCAGCATTTTGAAAAACCCTAACTTAACTCTGGAGCTGTGTCGCATATAGATATTTTTTTGGTATTTGCAACCATAGTAAAACAAAGACTTATATTTTTGATATTTATGTGCACTAATAAAAGACAAACATGCAAATTGACCGTACCTTTGCTATGCCCCAAGCCACGCCCACCAGCCAATCAGAGTGACTATATGCAAATTAACTCAACCAAGATGGCGGCCGGCAGCCATGGAGCTGAAGCAAGCAGGAGGCTTGGTTGCCCCAGTGATGGAGGAAGCCAAGCTTCCCACCCTGCCGCGCCAGCTCTGAGCTCCACTCAAGGCAAAAAAGT